CAAATACCTCGGAGTATAGATCAGTTATAACAAATTAGTCTAGACGATAAGCAAATTGAACACGGAATAGACTTTGCTGGGGATAATTTCGCCCAACACCGTAAATTGTTACAAGGCCAAAACATTTATAATGGGTTATCAAGTATAGTGAAGTGTATGAGCGTGGAAACAGGTTAGTTTGATTTGGCCTTGTTAGATAGACCACAATAAGGGGGGGTATAAAACAAGAAAATCAAATTGTGAAGCGAAACAACAAAATTATATACATATAAATCAATTAAGGTCTTTACAAATAAAATTAACGTATTTTGGTTGATACAAGATCGTCAAAATATTCGTAGTAGTCCTTGCAAGAATGAGTTTATGTGTACGTAGGCAGGAACGTATGTGTGTATGTATATATGTATATATGAGCCTTATCGTAGGGTGGGAATATCTTTGAAGTAATCGCTCAGTCTTAAAATGTTCCGTTCATTTATCAAGTATAAAAGAGGTAAGGAAGAAAGGCAGAGATATAATAACGATCGCTTGACGTTTGGCAAGAGACATGTTAATACGCTCGTCTCCTTCTCTCTGGTGACAGGAGAACTTGCCCGTCTTTTATTTCGTTTGTGGAGCTTGAAAAGGTCATACTCTCGGGTATGATTCGGGCCTTTGGACGATGAACAAACTTCGCGTCGGCTCGCGAAAAGATCTGTAAAAGAATTTGTTTCTGAGAATTGAAGATTATTTGAATTTTGTTTTTAAATGTTTCCTAGTTTTCTATTGGCTGAAAAAAAATTCACGAGTTTTGTTTTGGATTCGCTTTTGCGTGTGTGTTAAGCAAAGTTTGTAAATTCGAGTTTTTTTTAATTTCTAACAAAATCAAAGAGTCAATGCTTAGCATTTGAATTTTAACTTGTTTTGTTCACTACATATAAACCTAAAAACTGAAGTCATGTTCTTAAGAATCCTCGTCGTATCGATACGTACATATCGATGTCAAGCATGGCGCCAAACTTACTTAGAAACATCTAAACTGTCAACTGCATAGAACTGATTCCTCAAATCATTGGTTAAAAATGGTTTTGAGCGAATCAAGCGCGTAGGTCCTGGCGAGTACCATTCCTTATTTATAGTTTAGAATTGGGTTTCGGTTCCTTCTAAAACCGTTTTTTATGCGTAACCCTATACCTCGGGTAGCTTTTGGGTACAGAGTAAATATCATTGTTTATATATATATATATATATATATATATATATATATATATATATATATATATGTGTGTGTGTGTGTGTGTGTGTGTGTGTGTGTGTGTGTGTGTGTGTGTGTGTGTTTTTAAAAAAACTATTGAGCCAGAACCTACCTACCAAGGTTTCACCTAAACGGATCTTCAGTGTATGACTGGCCAGTAGTAAGAAAGAAGAAATAAATATAGTTTTTAGGTGTGATATATTTATGGAATAAAGTGCTCAATATCAGAGACAGATTGGATGGAAATATAAAAGTGAACATAGAAGTCAACACTCTGAGGAGACAGACTGTTTCATACTAAACACAATCATCAGGAGAGATGATTGCGTTTAGCATGAAACAGTCTGTCGCCTTTGAGTGTTGACTTCAATGTTGCAAGAGACAGGACAAGGATTGAGAGAGAAGATTGACAATTGACAATTTTCCACGTTCAAGATCATAGACAACAAACATGTTACATGTTAAGATTAGAAATAAAATATAATTCATCTATGTGCTGCGTCCCTTCAGTAGGTAGGTGTTTATTATGTTCTGTGTCATTTCTGGATTCACATGCTTCTACAGAAACGGTATCAATGAAAA